GTGCAATAAGGCGGTAACAAAAGTATTAGAAATGCTGCATTCACTACAATATATGAGTAGAGTGTGTTCTACCCTTTGTAGGTTAGCAATGCAAAACCAGTAAAGTATTACACATGTACTGTTGGTGCAGTGAGTGTAGAACACATGTAGTATGTAGCAGTGTGTACACATGTGTGTCGTAAACATGTAGTATATGGCAGAGTGAGAGGTGGAACATTCAAAGTCATTTGAGCTTGGCATTGATCTGTAGAACAACACACAACTCACTCTTCCTTCCATCTCAGCCTCAGTCTCTCCTCTGCTCTTCTGCTTCTCCTCTAGCAGCACAGATCTGTATCTTCCTAATGCTTTCCTGATCTCCCACCTTTTCCTGCCACCCTCTGCTCTTCCTCCTCATTTCCTGTTTCCTAGGCTCCCTAGTCCACTAATGCCCAGCTCCCCACTTTTCCTGTCTGCTCCTGAACAGACTTCTTTGTCCACTCGCTGAGCATCATCATCATAGGAGAGAGCTTGGGGAAACAGTGTGAAGGCCTGAGAACAGGCAGCATCAATAGAGTGACAAGAAGTGCCAAGAATGAGGAAGCACCCAATTGAGAAGAAGCTTGTGGATGGAATACAGAAATATGGAGGGGGCAGCACAACAAGATAGTTTCAATAGAGCAGAGTACAATCAAACATTTAAAGTAGTGTTTTTCAAACTTATTGAGACCTGGGCCCGGTAACCTCTTCCAAAACCTTCCATGTCCTAACAGTAAAAAAAGCTTATACTCATACAATAAAAGTTTAAGAATGCAAATGATAGAGTTTGGTGGTCAGTATAAGGCAGAACGCTCTGGCAGAAGTGGTCAGTAAAAGGGTAAGATTCCCTGGCATTAATCAGCGGGAGCAAAAATTTAGGGAATTGGAAGTGTGCTAGAGGCTATGAATTAAGCTTGGTGTCACTATGGAAGGATGGGGATTCTGGAGGGGGCTAAAGGATTCTGCAGCAAACTTAGTGGTTTTGTGGGGAATGAGGGCTTTGGAGACGGCTGGGAGTAACTGTGGAGATTGGGTCTCTCTATCGATCTGAAGGTCTCTCCAGGTGATTGTGCAAGGGCACTGCGGGAGCTGAGAAAACACTGTGGGAGGTTGGGGGCACTATAGCTCAGCATTCCAGCACAGGGCACCCACTGCCACTCTGTGACCTGGGCAACAGGGAAGGGACATGGCAGCTGTGGCACCCCTGCCACGTGAAAACACTCAACTCAGGGCACCTGCTCCTCCAGCCCTGGGAGTGTAACTACTAATTATAAAAGGTATCTCAGCTTCTTGCTTACCTGTATTAGACAGAAACAAACAGCACACTCTGGGCAAAGAGAAAGCCAGTGGCTGGAGATGGGCATGGCCCACATGCTGATTGACAACTCAGAATCAGTGTTGACAATATGCTAAGCCATGCTAAACATGCTGAACCATTACATCTGGCTGTAGTCCAATCAGATATACTGACTACAAGGGTGACAATGCCGCAGTGCTTTCACTATTACAGGGATATCCTCAACCTATCAAAGGAAATGAATAAGCAACAGTTATGATGGTATGATCACCAGGTACAATATTTTAGGTTGCAGAAAAAACAGACTGCACACTGTAGTTCATATTGGTAACCCTCATATTTCATTACAATTTGTCGTTTTGCCACAGTTCTACTTTAGTATGTAAAAAAAAAATCAGATGTTACGTCTATTTTAAACTTAACCAGATCCCTAAAGATATATTAAGGGCCCTACAGCCAAAGAAAATAGATACAATGAATAGGACAGCCTAGCCTGGTACAGTATGGCAGAAAAATAATGGAGTAACAGGCAGATGTGGCTTTAGCTTGGCAGCAATACCTTTATAGAATACATATTTAAAGCCAAGAAATATTAAGACCAGTCTTGAATCTAATAATTATTGTCCTCCAAATTGTCTTCCAAATGATCTGTTTTTTTTCACAGTTGACATAAATAACGGTTTTCCCACTTTAATAGTGTACTGAGTATAGTAGAGTTACAGTTAGTATAGTAGAGGTACAGTTATCAATGTTGTTTTCTTTAGGTAACTACTTCTGAACAACTGCCTTGTACACAGCTGCTTGTCATCGTATAGTCATCTATCTGATGGATTATGCACTTAACTGTTACATTTTTTCTTCATTTGCTTTTCATGTAAAATAACAAGATCATAGATACCTAAAAGGCAGACTCTGCAAATCAGTTTACCAGATCCAGAGAGAAAAATGTTCAAACTGGAAAAAAATGTAAATTATATTGCGATATCTTACATTGCATTCCACTTTATTATGTTTTATTCCTTTACTGTACGTTATATATACTGCTGCACCACAAGAAAACAGCTACATATTCAGATAACAAGGGTATAAGGATATGTTTTACTTTGAAAAGGATTTAGATTTTTGTTGTTCAAATTCACACAACCTACCACACTACATATCCCTCTCTGGCAGGGCAGATCTGCTGAAGTTCAGTAACAGGTAGGCCCCTTTCACAAGAGCAGACCAATTGGGTCCGACTGTCAGTTTTTACCTAATCGGACCCTCCATTCTCCTCTATGGGCAGTGGGTGTAAATGGAAATAGGTCCAGCCATACATGGATCAAAATTTGACTGGTTTAGCAAGACCAGCTAAACTTCGATCCATGTATGGGAAGGCTTGTGGTACAGAAGTCGATCTACAAATCAGCTTCTGTACAACCAGACTGTTGGGTTTCTGATGATTGATCAAAGCAGCTGGCAGCATTGATCAGTGTGTTCTGACAGTGGAGAAGTCTCATTGTTGTCAGAACACAATAGCACAGTGGAAGGGATTCCCCCATCCACCTCAAATGTGTAGATGGGGAAATCAAATCTTTTTTTTTTTCATTCATTCCACTGGCTTGATGAAAAAAAAATATTAATGTATGGCCAGCTTTAGGCCTCATGCACATGGATGTTTACATGCTCTTGAGTCTTGTAGCATTAGATTTCAGGCCCTTTTCCAAGCTTGTTGAGCCATAATGCTGCATATAGCTGCCCATACAAGTGCATGGATATATATTGCTGGCTGTTTGTAAATGCCAGTGGCTTCTGTATCAGCCTTTACCCATGAATGTGTGTATGGCATGCTTCCCTCAATGCAACACTGGAACTTTTGTGAAATATGCTACAAGACTCAAGAGTGTGTAATTGTCCGTGTGCATGAGGCCTTACAGGTCTCTTCTGCTCCCCCACCCCTTTGACTGGACAGTGACAGGAGGAGCAGTAGACCAATGAACTTCTTGCACTGCAGCACAACTGACCACATGCTGGGTTCTGCTGTACAGGTGAGGTGGATACCAGGACAAATTCAGGAACTTACACTGTTTGCAGTAAAATACCTTTAAGGATACATAAACAAATGCAAATCTATATAGTTGAAAAATGTTTATATGATAAATTGAAGGAAACCTGTGCTGAGAGAAACATCGAGGCTACTATTTCTTACTTCTAAAATGCCTGTTTTACTGATGCAAAGAATGTCATTCTTTCTGAGTCACTGACACAAGATATGATCTGGGCTTCTGATTTCATGCTGGCTTCATTTACTTTTTGCTTGTTGTAGTTAAGTGGGTTTATTACAAGACAACTAGCGTTTGCAGAAAGGGGTAAATTATGGCAGCCTCCAGGTTTCCATTATAAAACTGTGGCAATATAATCACAGAAGGTGCCATTGATGGCTTGCATTGACATGTGTGGGATTCAAGGCTGTCTTCTCTGCCTAGTGCATGGAACTAGAATGAAGGACAAAATTACAAACATTATTAGCTTCATGCCAGTTCCAGTGCAATGAGTCACAAGGTAGTAAAGCCTAGATCAAGATGGAAAGGACATTATTTGCTTTTCTGACTACCACAACTGGTCCTACAGACATTTTGTTGTTGTTTTCTATGGATAAAAGGCAATAAGGCAATCACTGAGGAGCACTACATTTAATGGTCGGCTGAGATAAACAGCTACTTACAGTGAGTCGCGTTAGTATAAAAAAGAGATACGTTAAAAAGATGTGAAATATGCGCTAGCCTGTGGCCATCTTTATTGTTTCTTTACATAACAAATTAAACAACAGGCAGGACAAGGATCAGTGGTGAGTACAGGACAATTACAGAGTCTTTCCTGGAAAACAATATCATCATTTGAAACCAGAAATCTGACTACCGGTATATACATTTCCTCAGATGACAAATCAACATAATAACTCTAAAATAATCATTAGGATAGATTCAGATACATCATTGGATAATGATAAAACCAAATGATGTATATTTTAGATTATAATATTTTAAGCCACCAGATCTTAAAGCAGTATTAAGCTCCAAAACAAAAATTTAATGTATAGCAGTTTACCAATCCATAAATGTGGTGGCTGCATTCTTCTTTTTTTATGCTTATTTTCGTTTATTTTCACCTAATGATCAGTAACATACTCCCTGTCTTAAACTGGCCATAGATAGTTAGTTTTATGCTGTCAGAATACACTGATCAGCAGCTGAAGTTGATTGGCTGCAGCTTCTGATTGTCAAAAGTTACAAAGAAAATTGTCTCCTATGGGACTTTAATGCAGCCATAACATCAATACGTAAAAAAGATTTTTTTTTTATTGATCAAAATGTATGTTTAATCAATGACAAATTTTACAGACTTTTGCTACAATGTCTTATCACCAACGCGTTTTGATTACTATATATTCTTCATCAGGAGATTTATAGAAGTGCCTATAATAGAGAAAAAAAATAGAATACTACTACAATATACACTATATTGCCAAAAGTATTGGGACACCCCTCCAAATCATTGAATTTGGGTGTTCCAATCACCTCCATGGTCACAGGTGTAAAAAATCAAGCACCTAGGCATGCAGACTGCTTCTACAAACATTTGAGAAATGATGGGTTGCTCTCAGGAGCTCAGTGAATTCAAGCATGGTACCGTGATAGGTTGTCACCTGTGCAATAAGTCCATCTATGAAATTTCCTTGCTACTAAATATTCCACGGTCAACTGTTAGTGGTATTATAACAGTGGAAGCAATTGAGAACAACAGCAACTCAGCCACAAAGTTGTAGGCCACGTAAAATGACAGAGTGAGGTCAAGGCATGGTGAAAGGCACAGTGTGCAAAAGTCACCAACTGTCTGCAGAGTCAATAGCTAAAGAACTCCAAACTTCATGTGACCCTCTGATTAGCACAACAACAGTGCATAGAGAGCTTCATGGAATGGGTTTCCATCGCCGAGCAGCTGTATCCAAGCCTTACATTACCAAACAAAGCCTTTCATCACCAGGTGCTGCTACATCCTTTGGATGTATTGGCTGTGCGGTAGGGGTCATCTAACATATTCACCAGAACACCATTAATATACACTATATTGGAAAGTCTGCCTTTACACCCACGTGAACTTCAGTGGCATCCCAGTCTTAGTCTGTTGGGTTCAATATTGAGTTTGCCCACCCTTTGCAGCTATAACAGCCTCAACTCTTCTGAGAAGGCTGTCCACAAGGTTTAGGAGTGTGTCTATGGGAATGTTTTACCATTCTTCCAGAAGTGCATTTGTGAGGGCAGGCACTGATGTCGGACGAGAAGGCATGGCTCGCAGTCTCCGGTCTAATTCATCCCAAAGGTGTTCTATCAGGTTGAGTTCAGAATTCTGTGCAGTCCAGTCAAGTTGCTACACCCCCAACTCACTCATCCATGTCTTTATGGACCTTGCTTTGTGCACTGGTCTGCAGTCATGTTGGAACAGGAAGGGGCCATCCCCAAACTGTTCCCACAAAGTTGGAAGCATGAAATTGTCCAAAATGTCTTGGTATGCTGATGCCTTAAGAGTTCCCTTCACTGTAACTAAGGGGCCAAGCCCAACCCTTGAAAAACAACTCCACACCATAATCCCCCACCCCTCCACCAAACTTTACACTTGGCACAATGCAGTCAGGCAAGTACTGTTCTCCTGGCAACCACCAAACCCAGACACATCGATTGGATTGCCCGACAGAAAAGCATGATTGGTCACTCCAGAGAACACATCTTCACTGCTCTAGAGTCCAGCGGAAACGTGCTTTACTCCACTGCATCCAACACTTTGCATTACGCTTGGTGATGTAAGGCTTGGATGCAGCTGCTCAGCCATAGAAACCCATTCTATTAAGCTCTCTACACACTGTTGTTGTGCTAATCTGAAGGCCACTTGAAGTTTGGAGGTCTTTAGCTATTGGCTCTGCAGACAGACTTCTGCACACTGTGCACTTCAGTATGCGCTGACCCCGCTCTGTCATTTTATGTGGCCTACAACTTGGTGGCTGAGTTGCTGTTGTTCCCAGTTGCTTCCACTTTGTTATAATACAGTTGACTGTGGAATATTTATTAGCAAGGAAATGTCATGGATGGACTTATTGCACTGGTGGCAACCTATCACGGTACCACGCTTGAATTCTCTGAGCTCCTGAGAGTGACCCATTCTTTATCAAATGTTTGTAGAAGCAGTCTGCATGCCTAGGTGCTTGATTTTATACACCTGTGGCCATGGAGGTGATTGGAACACCTGAATTCAATGATTTGGTGGGCTGGCCCAATACTTTTGGCAATATAGTGTATGTACAGTATATTGGGGATGACAGTAGCAAGAACCAGGTCTATTACACACAAAATTGTTTCCACCCACTCTGGATTCTCACTCCTGCTGCTTCCTAGACATTCCCATAAGTTGTGTTGCATTCTCCTTAAAACAAATACAATTAAAATACAGATGGGGACACTTTACAATTACCAAAGCCCGTGTGCAGTCTTGGCAGCTAAGAAAACCTAGACTGAAAGAAACAAGTGGGCTACCGTTCTTCACTTTCTTCTTCAATTGCTAGTTGGCTGGTTGCCTTTGGCTTTTAGACTTTGACCGAGCAATAATAAACTAACTAAACTAGAAAACCAAGAAGTCATTTGATCAGCACAGCAATAGCCAGTCAATAACCATTTTTGCCAAGAAACACCACAATGGTTAACCTAGGATGGACATCACATTTATGATCCTTTGCAATTGTTGCTGGTGGCAACTTGCGTGTGTCAGAATCACTAAAGTGCAGTGGATCGCTAAAGAGCAGCAAAGTGCTACCTTGTCACTACTTCATCACTGGCAAGGAAGAGTCTGCAGCTTCTCAGCCAACAAGGGAGAGATGCCATAGAATCAAGTGAGTGCTCCCTTCAGTGATCCTCTTAGCCACCAGAGATGGACTTGTCAGCATGACATGCCCCTAAGGCACATGCAGCGTCTCTCCATCCTGTACTTTTCTGCTAGTTCTGCCAACATATTTGCCATTGCCTCTTTCAACATCTGCACTTGAACTATATAAGAACAGGTGGTTTAGAAAGCTTTTTAGCAAAAAAATAAAAAAAAAGGCATGTCATTAAATGAGATAGCGACCATCTTGATTAATAGTATACAGTATGCTAGAATGGTATGAGGAACATTTTATGATCAGGCTAAGAAAGTGTTGAAATTCTGTAGTACTATTCTGCTGAAGTAATGAAAGAAGACAACTATCATTTCTTTGATGAACTGACAAAGTCTATGATAAGAAACTGAATCTCTTTTGGATCAAAGGAAAACTGTTAGAGGGGAATCATCTTAGTGGAAAAAGATTTTAAACATAGATAATACTTTCCAGGTATGCATAAAAGTGATCACTGCCAACAGGTTCACTTGTTTTATAAGAAGTATATTGTACACATGTTGGAGCATTATCACTAAGTGGATAACCTTTGCCTATATATGACAACTGACTGTTCAGAGGCAGCATGCATTCATCATGCCCCCATTCCCGTTGTATGCTTCCTGACCACAGATTGTGATCAAGTGATTTTCTAGTAAGGTTGTGGCTGGTGTCTCGTTTTTTCACCTGCATACTTATGTGAAGCTAAAAAGGAAAATTAAATCCAAACCAAATTTGATGTAAATCTTAAGTGCATAATATTTAGCTTTAGGTTAAAGCATTGTGTATAAACAATTTAGATTTTTTTAAAAAAAGAGATGATTTTAACCTTTTTTCTTCCTTTAATGCATCTTTTTTGTGTACATGTACTTGCTACAGTGTCAGTCGCCCATCACTTTTCAGGACCACATTTCTGATGCGATGATGCAATGCATGTCAGATATAACCCCTTATGGTCTGCAGGAGAAGCACATGTGACTGGGTTACAATGCAAAAACACAGCTGGGATATGGATGACACTCTGAAAGAGGAAGTGTCTGAACAGGGACCCTAATGACAGGATCATCATGTATTACTATAAAGTGACTGCAAACCCTCACCTTGTAAAACAATCCATTCAGGTTATAATAGAAATGAAAGACAAAACGTGTGTTTAGATATAAAAAAAAAATTCTAAACACCTTTTTCCCCCTTTTTTTTGTAAGTGATCACATTCCCTCTGTTTTCAGCTGCATAACAGCTAGGGGAGGAAAAACAGCAGTCCACTGGCCTTCCCAGTTAATGACTGTGTGTGTGTGTGTGTGTGTGGGGGGGGGGGGTCAGGACAAGTCTGATCATTGGAGGAAAGCAGACTGAGTTGTCAGCACCTAGAGAACCAACCATGCTATGTGGTTAATAGGAAAGCAGAGGGTCTGGCAGGAACACCAGGGATTTCACACAAAAGAAGCAATACAAAGAGAATTGGATATTTTTCATACAAGTACATGGCACAGCAGGCACATATCAGGAATATGAAATGTTGGGTCTACAAATTCTTTACTGAAAGATCCAGATTTAAAAAGATTAAGAACTTTTGAAAGTATATTGACATATTAAAGCTTCTATTTGATATTTGTACATATACAGTAGCTTAAGCAGTGATGCATAGTACAATGTCTATGCATACTGCAAATAACTGAAACCTGTGCTTCATAAAATAAACACCTGTGGATCCTGGCAGTTTCTGGCCTTCTCCAAAAGGGTGACATGAGGTGAAAAGATGCGTGGGTGTTGTCACTAACCCTTCTCAGTGTTGAACAACGTTGTCCACATCTTCCAATAGGACTCTCTGCATATGGAGGAAGTGATGGAAAGTGCTCTCTTGGATGCTGCTTCCTTACACTGGTGGATATAAATCCTTGGCAGCCCCTGTGATGATATTGTGGAGTAAAGAAGAGGATATGAGGGTAGGGGGGCTGTAAAAGATAAAACAAAGTCATAGTATTTGACCAGTGACTTTAGGCTTGTTGCACATGGGTGGCTGAGCCTGTTCAATGTAAATTTTTTAGTCTGTCCTCTCTCAGGAAGCCCAAGAGCAGCATACAGCCTCCCATAGACATGAATCATGTGCACGACTATACTCAGGTATGCACCAGTGCTATCATAAACAGAAGTATAGAGTACAGGTGTATGCAAGAAAATTAAAAAAATAAATGTTTTTGCGTATATCCATATACTATACTTCTGTTTAAAATAGCTCTAGCACATATCTGAATACAGCAGCTCACAGCCATTCCTGTCTATAAGAGGCTGTGTGCTGCACCTGAGCTTCATAGGTGGATATGGGGGGAAGACATTGGATTTACATTAAGCAGGCTCAGCCATGCGCATGCAAGAGTGCTTAAGCATTAGAATTTTTCTCTTTGTACTGTTTTTAAGCACATTATGATGTTTCTAGGCGCTGAAAACATGTGTAAGTACATGTAATGCAATGTAATGAGCATTGTATGAGGGTTCTACAAGTGTTTTTATAGAGTTACATGGAAGGTGAAAATGCCAGAACACAGAAGCAGATGCCTATGCTCATGTCCAAACTCTCTGCCAGCATTTCACACAACATCATAATATTTGGAAACCTCAAATACTGAACAGGTCCTCATCCAAAGCTAAGCCCAGCTGGTTGTACGATTTTCTAAGAAATATTTTTTTTACTTGGCACAGAAAAACTATGTTTGTTTCAAATATCTAATGCAGGTGTAATGCTTACCTCTGAAGTAGACCTTTGATGTGTTGGGTCCTCTGTTTCTGTGCCCACGATTCTGTGAACAGCTCCTCGCACTCTTGGCTGAGCAAGAAGTGTTTACTGCAAGTACCTGTATATGCACCCCAAATGCTCAAGGTGCATAGACACCAGGAATGATATAGCATTTGGTTAGCTAATAGAAAATGTATATTGCAACAGTGGAAACAATGGAAGAAATAAGTTGTAATGGATCAGTGAGAAGTGAGAGTTATGCTGCAACAGTTAAACCATCAGAGAAATATACTGTTATGTTTAAGCAATACAAGTAATATGCTGCTGAGATAGCAATT